AATAATTGGGGACTGTAGGCAAAACTTTTGCACAAACAGGTCAACTTCGAAAATGACATTGATTTTGAAGTGCAAATTTTGTTTTAACACTTCTTTGACATACAAGTGATGTTCAGACAATGATTATGACATTTATACCGAACTCCATCCCCAATGAGCCCTTTTTTCTAGAACTCTTGGTGAAAAAATTGCATTGGTACCAAAGGCTAAATAAGTGGGGACTTTAGGCAAAGGTTTTGCACATGCAGGTCAACTATGAAAATGACATTAATTTTGAAGTGCAAATTTTTTTTTAACATTTATTTGACATACAAGTGATGTTCAGGTCATGATTATGACATTTATATCGAACTCCATCCCCAAGGAATCATTTTTTTCTAGAACTCTTGGTGCAAAAACTACATTGGTACCAAAGGCTAAATAACTGGAAACTTTAGGCAAAGGTTTTGCACAAGCAGGTCAACTTTGAAAATGACATTGATTTTGAAGTGCAAAATTTTTTTAACATTTATTTGACATACAAGTAATGTTCAAGCCATGATTATGACATTTATATCGAACTTCATCCCCAAGGAATCATTTTTTCTAGAACTCTTGGTTCAAAAACTACATTGGTACCAAAGGCTAAATAACTGGAAACTATAGGCAAAGGTTTTGCACAAGTAGATCAACTTTGAAAATGACATTCATTTTGAAGTGCAATTTTTTTAACACTTATTTCACATACAAGTGATGTTCAGGCAATGATTATAACTTTTATAGTGAACTTCATCCCCAAGGAACCATTTTTTGTAGAACTCTTGGTGAAAAAATTGCATTGGTACTAAAGAGTAAATAAGTAGGGACTTTAGACAAAGATTTTGCACAGGCAGGTCAACTTTGAAAATGACATTCATTTTGAAGTGCAAAATTTAATTTTAACACTTATTTCACATACAAGTGATGTTCAAGCAATGATTATGACATTTATATTGAACTTCATCCCCAAAGAACCATTTTTTGTAGAACTCTTGGTGAAAAAATTGCATTGGTACCAAAGAGTAAATAAAAGGAGACTTTGGACAAAAGTTTTGCACAGTCAGGTCAACTTTGAAAATGACATTGATTTTCGAGTGGAGATTTTTTTTCACACTTATTTTGCATAGAATTCATGTTCATCCAATGATCATGACATTTATATCCAATGTTGTGCTTCTAAGGCAAACATTTTACACATCTTGGTCAACAAAGTTCATGTCATTCCTTTCTAAGTGCACAATTCATTTTTCAACATTTAATGTACCTACAACCCTATATACATAGGACATTTAACACACATAATGACATATGCATTTGGTGGGGACTGCAATACAAATGTCTAAGACAAAATATTGTCATTCTTTTATTCAACCCTATGGTAATCAACATAAAAAATAACACAAAATGATCATTGTTATCTTTAAAACGATGGAACACATTGACATTGATACTAAAATATAGCAATCTCAAATTTCATTATCAATAAATGTAAGGAATACATTTCTTTCAACATTTCTAACAAAAAAATATGTACATATACACCTAATGAATACATTTTGAAACAGATATAGAACCATAAATCACATTGCAACAATCCCCATTGTACAACATCTACAACAGCCCTAAATGTTGCAACTACTTCATCCCTCTCCACATTGCCAACATCCAAAATTCAATCACAAACATACTTCTCCCTAGCCTGTTGCATTTCCTCCTGAAAACAAAAAAAATGCACACAAAATCAATAAAATGCCCAATGTTGAATCAAAGGTCCAAACGATAAAAATTTTATAACTTACACTTATGTAATTGCGCATTGTTTTCCCTTCGTATTTCTCAACACCATTCCACAACTCCATAAATTTGAAAATAATAACTCCACAATCATATCTACATCAAACGAAGTCCAAAATACAAATGATGTAATACTAGTTCAATCAAATCAAGAAATTTTATAATAAAAAAAAACAAGATTAAAAACTTACGAGTTCAGTTGTATTGGAGTGTGCACGTGTTAGACCTCAAAAGATGGTTTGTTGTCTTCGTAATGATTGAACAAATGTCAAAAAAATAATTTAAGATTATGTGCCTGCAAAACAACAAAGTCAACTTGACGTTCCAATAAATCAATTTACAAATACAAAGTACATCAATCAATTACAAGACTTACAATTGCAATGACAATCTTTTTACGTTCTTTTCTATTGTGGCCAACACAGTCCAGTGCCAACATTTCCATGGATGAAATCTTCACGGCGTAGTACCACCAATGTCTATCGTGGATAATTGCATGAACAACTACAAACAAATAAATGTGTCCACAAATGTATAATAAACCATCAATATTATCTCAAAATACATTGTATGACATTTAATTGCACTAAAAATTCAGCATTAACAAATTCAACATTATACAAATATTACATAATATAGTTTATATAATATTTAAAACACAATTACTTTATACTAATATTACATTACATGATATAACTTATATAATATTTAAAGTACCTCTCTGTATAATATGAAAATATTATATAATATAAGCTATATAAAAAAAACGAAACCAAAACCTAATGGCATTATTATGTTATGTACACACCTCTCCAACCAAATAAAAAAACATTTTCTATTTCTTAATCTGCACCATACTTCAAAAAATAAAAAAAATCATCATTTACTCCTTACTACTACAATATTTTTTACTGCTTAAACAACCAATTATAGACTTAAAGTCAGTCCATAAAACCCTACACTATAATTTTATATATACGTTTACTCTCAAAGAAAATATCTAAAAACTTATCAATTAAACAACGACTCATAAACTAAAAAAAAAAAACCATAAACACTGCACCAGAATAAACTTCCTGCATCAGCTCCTAGAGAAATATATTACATGACTTAAACCACTTAAATAACCAATTATACTGCATCATAAAGCAACGTAAGGATTGTTGAACCAATTCCATTCCCAACATCGAATGAACATCATAAAAGAATCCAAATATTTTCATATTTTCTGTCTAATCACCGTTACACTTTGGTATTATATATATATATATATATATATATATATATATATATATATATATATATATATATATATATTGATGTTTATAAAAAAAATAAGTAAAATTGTTATTGCACTCCGATTACCTCCAAAATATAACTTAAACATTGAAATTTATATCCTTACTCACAATCGCACAAACTTTTTACTAAGCACAGTTTTCACAATGATTCATAAACCTAAACAATATAATGATTCAAATTATATACTAATGTTTGTCTAATCATTCGCTATAAACTTTGCACGCCACTTACATTTATAAAACTCCATGATCAAACTTAAAGCACCACACATCTCTAGCCACATAAATGCAAGCCATCAGAAAAACTCACTAGCGACAAGCAAGAAGACTCACGTCTAAGAATCAAATACTCATGGCATCACAGTACCAACAGACAAAAAAGATTACCACCCCATACTCATGAGAAGCTTCAGTCTGTTGACCAAATTCCTCCATTACACAAATAAGGTTAAAAAAAATTTCAATAAGACCCATAAAACAGAGGAACCCCTAAATGGTAAAAAAATTATAAAGCAACTCATACCCACCTAACAACAACAAACGATTGGCGAAAGGAACGGTTCCACGGCAGCGAAACGGTGGAAAGGCGACGATTTCAGTGGTCGTTGCTTCCAAAAGGTAGATCGATGGCATAATGTGCTCCTGTGAATGGCGACAGTTCGCAGAACGACGACAGTTGGCAGAACGATGAAAGTTCGCAGAACGACGACAGTTCACAGAACAGCCAAAACTCCGTCAAACGATAGTTCTGCTCACACGACACGCTTTTGCTGGGTGCTCCTTCTCTCTAGGGTTCTCTCCAGCCCAAAGTGATATGTTGGTTTTGAAATCCTAAAATGAAGCCCACACGACGCGCTTCTGCTGGGTGTTCCTTCTCTCTAGGGTTCTCTCCAGTCCAAAGTGATATGTTGGTTTTGAAATCCTAAAATGAAGCCCACCACTTGAAACTTCTGCATCCCTTCATTTTCACATCATTTTTGTTTTTTAATTTCTTGTACACATGGACCATTGACAATATGACACGTGACTATGTCAAAATGTTGTCAAAATTTATTGTCAAAATATCATTATCCTAGTAATAATTTATACAAGAAAGTTTAACTCATTTTACCTAGAAATTTGAAGATTTTATTACATTTGGATAACTTTGTATCATGCAAGAAAACTAGTTTTAGAAATGAATTCTGGGTGGATTTAGAATTTAGAATTTAAGATTTAGCTTATATTTGTGATATTATTTGGTTTCGTGCTTTGAAGATTTATTTGTATCGTATTTAGTAACTACAAACCTGTTGAATAAAATATTCACGACACGTGCCTGAGAAATAGTTTATCTTAATGTTATATTTGTAAAATTAAAAATTATTTTAAAATTGATAAAATTAATGTCTTTACCAAAAAATCTAAAATACTACTTTTAAATATCTGACAGTTAAAGTTTCCTATTATTTAACTGCATCGCAGGATAAATTCACTAGTTTTTAGTAATTTTTGTTTAGCTTGTTCAAAATATTAACTATTTTTTCTTTAATCTTAGCTTCATTTTTTTTTCTTAATCGGAGTATAAAGTTCTTTTTCGAAAGACAATACTTTTAAGCTATTAATATATAATTTGAAAAAATAAAAAGTCTGTAACAAATATTATTTGTTTCAAACCTTGCAACATAAAATAAAATTATTACAAATATTAGGAATATATAAAAAATACTATTAGTCAATAATTATTATTTATAGATGGGAATTTTCGGTAACCCTTTCCTCAAATTGTGCTCTGGGACGGGAATTGGGTCCCTGCATTTACAGCATTCTAGGGAAAAAAGTTTAGTTCGTTTGTAGATTATACTAAAAAAATTTAAAGAGGAAAATTTTATTTGATATACCCATTTAAAATAAGTTTAACAATTTTTTCTTCCATTAATTGCTGTTATAACCTTCTAGATAACAGATTGGTTATTTTTTAAGCTACCCATTGCTTTCTACCAAGCTGAACAAAATCTGATTTGATTGGTCATGTTTCTTAGAAGAAAAAAGAATTCAATATCTCTGTTCAGCAGGATCAACTGAACTGTTTTTGTCAGTGGCTCAGAGCCCATACTTGGAATTGTGAAGCAGAATGAGCTTCAAACCGCTTGCAGTTGTCTTTGATGACCTGCACAAAGGAGCACGATAATATCTCTCTCTTAAGACCACGTCGTCCTTGCAAGACCAGGTCTGTCCTCGAGGAGAGCTATTGGTCCACAAGAACCTCTCAGAGAATGGATTCACTAGACTCTCACGAAACTCCTGCACTGCCTCACAAAGCAAACCCTGAAACAGTCACAGAAAGAGTGGTGTTAAAATATAACTTTTGAAATACCAGAGAGTGGAATAAAATGGGGATAATATAACTTTTGATACCTCTGCCATGCTTTTGATTTTCAAAGGGATATCCTCACTGAGTAGGACAAGTTGTCCATCATTTTGGTTTCTTCTATACAGAAGAGCAAAGTCAAGGATGTGATCTTCTAAGGTTGGTGAAGCAATTTCCATGCATTTCTGGTATGAAGGAGAAATTACACTGTCTTCACTAAACTGAGACTGGGGAGAAGCAGGTGGGGTTGGAGCAATTAACCTTCCTTCATCTGCTGAGCTCTGGATTTTAATCCACCAATTTGTCTTCACCATACATTCTTCAATCCATTCCAATGCCAAGGAAGCCTCTGAAGTTCTTCTGAAGATTTTGAACTGTCGCATCATACGGTCCAGTTCCCTTATGACTGACATTGCAGAGTGATAGTTAGACTCATGAGAAACAGAAGTAATTCATTTATTTTAAACAGTAAAAAATAAGAAAAATGATAGTTTAAGACATTACCCAATCTTGGAATGATTAACCGAGTCCCCTTGAGGCCTTGTAGAAGCTGCAGAGCTTTCCTTGATTCCTTGTTCACAAGAGAAGTAGTATCCACAATCATGTCCCAGCTACTCTTCTTTGGCACCCCACTAATATCCTACAAATTAAAACATATATAAACATACTCTACCCAGTTTATTGAATCATTCTAAGCAAACATGAACGCATGATATTTCCTGTGGAAACTTACTGAAGGGTGGTTAATGTGCTGGTCTAAAATTTGTCCACAATTACTGAAATGAAAGCTTTTGGCTGAAGAAACAGGGGAAAAAGTGTTTGATTTTCCCTTGTCTGCTGAGCTATTTAGTGATTGGAAAGGTACCCTTTGCACTCTGTCCTCTGATGTCACAAGATGTTGCTCCTGTGCCAAGTTGATTTGGCTGCAAAAAGGCTTTCTTTGCAACTTTTGATTTTCTTTCCACGGGGACTTGGAATGTTTAATTTCTGCCACCTTATCCTTCTTTTTAAGAAGCCGCAATTTAAGGGCATTTGGACTGAAGTTTTCCTTATCTGGATTGAAGACTTCTTCGTCCTCTTCTTCCCAAGCCAAATCAGAGAAATGACCTTTTGAGATTGAGCTATTTATCGTATCATTCTGGTTCAGTATGCTTTCATTTTGATACATGTCAGGATTACATGTACCCTTTGAAAGGGGTGACTTTTGAGACTTGAAACATTCAATTTCTTCTACCTTACTCTTATTTTTCAGGAGCCTCAACTGAAGGGTATTTGGACTGAAGTTTTCCTTATTAGGAGAAAAGATTTCTTCTTCCTCTTCTTCCCCATCCAAATCAGAGATGAGATCGACTGAGATTGAGCTATTTATTATATCATTCTGGTTCAGTTTACCATAAGCTGGGCCTATGCTTTCATTCGGATACACGTCAGGATTAAACGTACCCTTTGAAAGGGGTGACTTTTGACACTTGAAACATTTAACTTCTTCTACCTTACCCTTATTTTTCAGGAGATGCAATTGAAGGGTATTTGGACCGATGTTTTCCTTATTAGGGGTGATGATTTCTTCTTCCTCTTCTTCCCCGTTCAAATCAGAGATGAAGTCTGAGATTGTAGTATTTTTTCCCGTTCTTTCATTTGGATATAGATTAAATATACCCCCCTTTGAAAGAGGTGACCATTCTGACTTGGAACGGTTAATTTCTTCTACCTTACCCTTCTCTTTCAGAAGCCTCAATTGAAGGGTATTTGGACTAATGTTTTCCTTATCCAGGGCGAAGAACTCTTCCTCTTTCTCCCCATCCGAAACAGAGAAAAGATCCTTTGAAATTGTTTTGTTTATGATATCCTTCTGGTTCATTTTCCTTAAAGCGGTGCTTTCACTTCGATGCTTTGAAAGGGATCGTGACCTTTGTGACCTGGAATGTTTAATTTCTTCTACTTTATCCTCCTTCAATAATCGCTTCTGGAGTGTATTTGGACTGAAATTTTCTTTATCTGGAGTGAAGATTTCTTCTTCCTCTACCTCCCCATCCTGTACAGAGAAAAGGTTCTTTGCGACTGTTCTATTTCTGATATCCTTCTCCTTGCTCATTGCAACTTCAGCGTCAACGTTGGCTGCACTCTTAACTGTGCTCTTGCTAGTTCGAACCTGAGGAGCTCTATCAGCTTTACCTCTTCTTGACCAAATATTATGATTTGTTGAAGTTTTCTCCACTGCTTTTACACAGCTTTCAAGGATTTCCATATCAGACTGCAGGGTCTGGTCCTTATTCATAATATTGAAAACTAATTCTTGTGTCATTGATAAATTGACTGACTCTATCTGACGTGATGTGGGGGAGGAGATGATACCTGTGCACTTGTTTCTAACATCTTGAGTTATTTCATTGAGTGAGTGCCTACGGTCATGACAAAATTTATCCTTCCCCAGCTGTGACTGTGATCTATACATGTCTTGCTTGTCTATGTCAGATGAACAATCAATAGCAACTATGTCAACAATTTTAATCTGCTCATCGAGTGTTCCTAGCACAGCTTCCTTGACTGGTGGCAACATATCCACAGAATCCATATTTCCACCTCCAGCAGTAAAATCATCTGACGTGCTTCTATAGTAGTCTCTGAGGGCAAATTCGGATTCAGATTCTTTAGGCAGTATTACATCTTCGGCTAAACTTTTCTCATCAAGAGGCGCAGGAACTGGAAAGGCATCTACAACACCTTCATCATCTCTGTCTGTACATTCATATTCACATTCGGTTTCTTTAGGCAAGTTGAAATGAAGCTTTTCAAACGAATTTTCATGACCAGGTGGTAATGAGGAAGAAAGTGTATTATGTGGAGTATGGTAATGCAGCATTTTGGTCTCCAAAACAGCTTCCACAGCTGGCAAACATAAAGTCTCAGACAATTTTTCTGTCAGTATGACATGACCTTGGACAAGTGATTCCACATAAGGTGGTGATAGAACCTGACTTACAGAGTCACCCAAATTTTTTTCACCATCAGATATTTGGGTTCCAATTGCTTCCTCTTGTGATGGGCTCTTCTTTTCTTCCAGCATCCAAGGTGCCAAGTGAATCTCCTCTTCCACAGTTAGTTTTACATTCTCATCAAGGAATAAAGAACTTGTATCCTCGACAATTGAATCCACTTCCACAATTAGTTTTACATTCTCATCCGGGAATAAGGAACTTTTATCCTCAACAATTGAATCCACTTCCATTTCAGCAGGATAGCCATTCAACTTCTGCAGTTTCAAAAAGCAGAAACGTAAAGATCATGTTATAATACTTAAACAAAACAGCAAAGAAAGCCCGGTATATATAGTTCACTATCAGTACCCAGTTCAGACATAACTTACAAAAAACACTTGAATATATACAATACAGCACAGACAAAGGGACACGAATATTTTAAAACTTGAAACACATGACTCGACTAATATAAAAACATGCAAAAATGTCATAAATAAAAGCACAAGACTTTGAATGGAAACATAATAATATTATAATATTATTATGTTTTTGGATCTTACTGCAATGTTATCATTTTTTCTCTTATATAAAAGTGAATACAATTTTTAAAAAAACAAATGTTCAAAATAATACAAAATGCAGCTAGACATTAATGCATGGTAACCTAAGGTGTGGTATCTTTTGTGTGTACTAAAAGTATTCCTTAGCAAACAGGGGAGCCTAATGTCCAATCTCTTCCGGATGTAGAGATGAATAAAGTGAGTTTTACCTTTTGAAACAATTTTATTTTTATACTGATTTATATAATCAAGGTGATAGTCTCATTTATTTATAAAATAAAATGCTTTATAAAATAAAATGCAGCTACGCAAAACATGCTTACACATTGTGATATTTCTACAGCTTAACCGATAGCTAAAACAGAAACGTAAAGATCATATAATTACCTCTTCAAGACATACGATCAAGAAAAAGTGATTTACCTTTCATAACAAGAACAAAGACTTCGATCACTTAAAATATCTCTTCAAGACTTACGAACAAGATGAAATTTGCCTATCATAACAAAGTCTTTTTCATGCACATGACCACTGGCAAAGTCCCATTGGTATCTCTTCAACACATAAAGATCAACCAAGTAGAAGCTACATATCATAAAACAAATCGTTTTCATGCAAATGACCTGGTAATGAATTATCTACCAATTATGTCAAGCTTCTTGGTACATTGAACACTTATAATAATTGTATTTACATACGAACCTCAAGCTTTTCTCATGCACCTCAATTACCGAAACACCCAAACAAAAACAAAATAATTCATCAGAAAATAGTTATACCGCCATTTAATCATCACAATCACAGCGTACAGAGTAAGTTTGTTATTTTTTACAATCAACAGCTTAAAAGTCAGATCAAATCCAATGTGTCATTCGTTTAAAGGACAAAACGCAGAAGTTATTAAGCATACTATTCAAAAGAAATCAAAAGAAGATATCGCAAACACCTCGTGTGAATCGTTCAATTGTATCGTACCTGCATTTTCTCTTCCTGCTCCTCCTCCTCTTCTTCTTCTTCTTCTTCTTCTTCTTCTTCGGCAACCACATCCAATTGCGCAACGAACGGATTTTCCAAATCATAGGCGCGACTAATCGGAATCCAATGTAGACGGTAAACCCTACTGGAAACCCCGATCCTGAGGACGTCCCCCTCCCTCATCTCCACACTCACCATCGGCTCGATCCTCTTTCCCGACACCCACGTCCCGTGCACTGCAACGTCATCACCAACCATCGTTCGTTTTGTTCATTCATTGGACATCGAACCAATCAATGAAAACAAGAAAAGAAAGCGTTATGTTACCGGAAGACAAATCGACAACGGAGAAGGCGCGTGTGGATGGCTTGGAGCGGATCTGGAGGTGGAAACGGCTGATGCTGGGGTGCGTGAGCATGAGGTCACAGTCGGGGTGGCGCCCCACGAGGAGAACATCCACGTGCTCGCCACGTGACGCCTTTTCTGGCTCCTCCGGCGGCTTGTTGACGATGAAGATGTTCTTGAGGATTGTGTTGTTCTTGAGCACCGTCAGCACAGGGATTTCACCTTCGTCTTCCTCGCCTTTCGCTCGCTTCTCAGAACCCATTCTCTGTATTTCTTTCTCTGGTTTTCGATGACTGTTGCCGAATTTGGGTTTGAAGGAGTGAGCAAGTGAGGTTTAACGAATAAAAGAGAAGAAGGTTTTGAATTGAATTATTAGAGAATGCTGACCGTTTATTTGACGAGGTGCAACGGCTATTTCTACCTGCGTTTTAATTTTCTTAAAATCCGATATTTTTTATAATTTAAATTTATGATTTTGTTCCATCGAATAGGAGTCTTGAAGGTCCGTAACTTTTAGGCTTAGTCTTTAATTTGTTAATTTGATTTATTTTAGTATTATTATTACTTTTTAGTTTAATTTAGTTTTTCAACTTTTAAAAAAGTTTAATTTAATTTTTTCTATTAAATTTAACATGCTGACCATGTATCAATTTGTGAATTTTTTAATTTTAATTTTTTTAGGGTTAAATATGTTTTTAGTCCCTAAACTATTGGTCGTTTCTGGTTTTCGTCCCTCTTTCAAAATAAGGTACAATTTGTTCCTCATTCTTTTCGAAACTTTGGTTTTAGTCCTCGAAAACTAACACCGTTAAAAATGTGCTGACGTGGCTAACGGTAGACTGACACAATTTTTTTTTGTCAGAGTTTATCAGCTTTTCTTCCTCTCTCTCCCTCGTCTCTTCCTTTCCTTAATTACACAGTATCCTCCCACATTTTCCAGTGGTGGCATAGGCGCAAGTGGTGGCAAAAGCTTCTTGTTGTCATCATTCTCCTCTGGCTTTTCAACAATTGAATTTGAATCACCTGAAAACAGTTGCTTCGGTTAAAATAGTTGCAGATCCCTGAAGAAACAATAAAATTCACGTTTAGCACCAAAGGGCACAGAGATAGTAGGCAATGAAAGCTTAACAGTTATGGTGGTAATAACACCTTTGAGCTCAACTTCACAACATATCTACAACCTCCAAACCTCAAATACTCCAAGAATCATATAAAAAAATGTAGCTTACAGTGGCAAAGGTAAAATGTTTTAATAATTCTTTTTATAACTTTTAATTAATTTTTTTCTTGCAGTAAATAAATATAAGTATTTTTATTCAATAATATACGTTAGGCATACTTTATTCATATATATATATATATATATATATATATATATATATATATATATATAT